AAGAGGAGAAACAAAACAACGCGAAGCAGGAGAAGACCTCACACAACAGAAGAAAACAAAAAAACACACAGAAGTCATAGAACAAAAAGAGAAAAAGAGACGCAAGGGAGCAGCGAAAAGACGAGACAAGAGAAAGAAAAAAAGAAAAAAAGAAAGACAGCACAGACAAACAGAGAGAGAGAGAGAGAGAGAGAGAGAGAGAGAGAGAGAGAGAGAGACAGAGAGACAGAGAGAGAGACAGCGCAGACAGACACACTGACACCAACAGGAGACGTCTAAGCGGACAGACATCTCTGCGTGGCAAAATGCGCAACTAAAACAAACGCCAATGCGAGCCAGCACCCTCCGTGTGACAAAACTCCAAACAAAAAGGCACCAGGGGAAACAACACGAACGCTAAGAAACAATAGGCACGACGAAGCCGCTATATACATACAGACGCATGTATGTATATATACATGCATGTATATGTGTATATATACATATGTATATATATACATATGTATATATATACATATATACGTTTACATACATATGTATATACATATACATATGTATACATGCATGTGTATATTTATATATATACATATGTATACATACATGCACACATACATATGTATATATATACATATGTATATATATACATATGTATATATATACATATGTATATACATACATATGTATTCATACACATTCATACATATGTGTGTATATATATAGATGTGTAGGAATAAATTGGTGCATGCAAGCGCACCTCGCTGGCGTGTTCTTGCTCTTCGTCTTGGTCTGCCCACTCGACATCGCTGAGATCATCTGCTCCTTCCGTCTCTTCAACGGCACTGGTAGCGGCTTGAGCCGCCTCTGCAGCGGTGACATACTCAGTGTTTAGCGTGACGAAGGCGCTGCTGCTGCTGCTGCTGCTGCTGCGTTGCGCTGCAGAGGCAGCTGCCTGCAGGGGCCCCAGGGAAGCTCGCGAAAAGCCAGCGAGAAATAATCTGTTTTCCGCGGGCAGCAGCAGATTCGCAGACAACGCACTCGCCAGCTGCAGCGCATGCAACGCCAGCAGGGGGCCCCCGAGGCCCCCCGGGGGGCCCCCGCCATTCGCAGGTCTCCACGGAGAAGCAGGAAGCAGCAGCAGCTGCGGCTGCAGCAGATCTATGGGGTGTAAAGGGGCAGCTGCTGCTGCTGCTCTGTCCTTAGCCGTCGCAGCAAAGTCGTAAACACACCCCAGCAGCAGAGGCAAGTCAGGAGGCTGCACACGCGGCACGTGCAGAGAGAGCAAACTCTCTCTACATGCAGCTGCCGCCTCCTCCAACAAGAGGCTAACCTCGTACAGCAACGCAGGATGCTAAAAAACGCATGCACAGCCACATAAATACATATATATATAGATATGGATATAGATATATATAGTGAGAGGGAGAGAGAGAGAGAAACACATACAAACCTACAGGAAGACAGACAGACAGAGAGACAGACAGCCATGTAGTAGAAACACAGACAGACAGAGAGACACAGGCAGGCGAACCCAGACAGGCATATACAAACACACACACAGACAGGCAAGCGTATAGAAACACACACATACATATAGATATAGAAACAAAACCTTTTGCACAAGCAAGAACACCTACACACCCAGACATGAACAGAGATACACACAGACAGAGCACTTGCCGCAGCAGCAACACTGGTGCCTGCATGCACTCCCCCAAGCAGCTGAAAACATTTGGCAACAGAAAGACTCAACCGCCGGTTTGAGGAGCAGCTGCACGAGCAGCTGCTTTCCAGCAGCGTCCATTAGTTACCACATGCCGCCTCGAAGCCCGTCTCACCTGTTCAATGGAGAGGCCTCTGAGCGGCTTTGAGAGGTAATACAAACAATTCAAGGCGAAGACGAAGTCTCCTGGTGCATACCGCCGATCAGCGAGACTCTGCGTTAAACGTGAGACGTCTGACAGAAAGAAGGCACAAGGCAGCAGCAGGCAGGAAGACACACGGAAGGTCTCGCAAGGAAAGCAGTGGATGCAGCAGCAACAGCAGCAACAATGGAGGCTGCAGCTGCTACTGCTCCACGCAAGCCGAAGGCAACTGCGAGAAGGGGTCCTATGTGGAGCGGCGGCACACGACACTGCAGAAAGACAAGCGTCTTTCTTTGCAGCACCAGCCGTTCAAGGAACAAATACCCCACGAAAAGAAGCCACCTATGCAGGCAACACTAACTAGCACACAACAAAGAAGCAGCAGCAACAGGAGCAGCAATAGCAGCAGCAGGCAAAAAAGAAAAAGTCTCTCTTACCTGTGGCAGGAGCAAGCTGCCCTGTAGCGAGAAGTGCCTGTCGCCGCTGTCGCCTTGCCATACGAGCAGCTACCGCTTCAGCTGTGTACTTGGCAGAGAGTCTGCGCACATGGCCGCACAGACATTAATATAAATAAACATACATGGACGTACATGTATGTATGCTTCATGCGCCTGCAACATCGACGATCCAAGCGCGCGCGGCGCAAAAGGGGGGAAGCCTCATTTCTCCTCCCTCCTAAGAGGCCTCTGTCTCTCCTGCCTGCCCGGTGATTCTTTCGATAACATTTTTTTTTCTCCTCAGGCATCTCTGGCGTGAAGCGCCGATCAGCGCACGCTCGTCTCAGCAGCCCTCCAAGAAAGACGCAACCCTCTGTCTGTTGGCGAGAAGCGAGAAGAAGAAAAAAAGAAGAAAAAGAAAAGTACAAGATCCTACCTTTCTCGTCGCCAAATGAGTTTGATAAGATCTGCAGCAGCACTCTGCTGCTGCAAGGCTGCCTTCCTCTCTGCCCGCAGTTGAGCTCCGCCGCTTGAGAAGTCTTGGGAACTGCCTTCTTTCCCCAGTTGCTGCTGCAACTGCTCATACTGCGGGAGGAGGTGATGCTGCTGCTGCATCTGCATCTGCATGCGTTGATGCGGCACGGAGGCAAGGCCACTTTGAGGCTGCAGGAGAAGAGTGCCACCTGCAGCAGCTCCCGCAGAGGAGGCTGCCGATACTGCAGAGGCTGTCAAAGCGAGAGGGGCTGTAACAAAGCCAGAACGTCGAGCACTGCTGCCTCCCCCCCCCTCTGCGGCAGAAGGCAGCAACTGCTTCTTCAGCTCCGGAGAGACGCGTTCTCCTTCAAACTGCCGAATCCATCGGACGTAAAAACGCTTCACCTAGTTGAAAAGCAAGCAAGCATGCAAAAAAAGCCTTTACACAGCGAATGCAACAGCGATAGGGCTCTCCAACGGTCCAGATACCACCTATGCTGCTGTCTTCAACAGGATGATGCACACCAAGAAGGGGAGAGAGGGGGAGATAAATACAATATGTATGTGTATACAGAGAGAAATAGATAGATGGAGATGGATAAAGAGATAGATAGAGATATAGGTAGAGAGATATAGGTAGATAGAGATATATAGAGATACAGATATATAGAGATATAGATAGAGAGAGATATAGATAGAGATATATAGATAGCTACAGATATATAGACAGATACAGATATGTAGAGATAGATTTATAGATAGATATGTGTGTTGCAGAGATAAAGAAAGTTATAGACGTGTTGCAGAGAAAGGAAGAGAGAGGAGAGACGGGTTGCAGAGAAAAAAAGAGAGCAAGATAGACAGATGTGTGTTGCAGAGGGAGAGCTAGAGAGAGACAGAGAGCTAGAGAGAGACAGAGAGCTAGAGAGAGACAGAGAGCTAGAGACGTGTTGCCGAGAGGAAAGCGCAGCGAAAAAGAAAAGCCAGAGACACGCAACAGCCTGTACTGTCTAGCACTGTATATTGTTGCTGCTGCTGCAGCCTGCTGCAGTATTTGATGTTGTGGAGGTGAGAAGTGCAATGTTGCAGCTCCAATAATAAAACATCAAGACGGAGGCACTCAAACGCCTCCAACGCAACTTCCCTCCCTCCCCCTTAGCCCGCAAGAATGCAGCCACAGAAACTTCACCGCTACACCCCACCAGAAAACGGCAGAAGCAGGAGCAGCGACATCATCGCCACTACCACCAGAACCTCGAGAAGCAGCGGCTGGCAAAAGCACATGAATCGCGCGCAGGTTCGAAGGAAAGCGGAGGGAGACGCAGAAAAGAAGAAAACACACGGAAGGGAGACGCAGAAAAGAAGAAAACACACGGAAGGCACACCTGCTCAAGATCCTGGTGGCTTGCAGGCTTGTCCTTTGGAAGAATGCCGAGTTGTTTGCTCAGATAACCCCATTTGTTGTTTTTGTTGACACGGGGAAAGCCTCCCTGCTCCATGGCTACGAGAAACATCTCGTAGAGATCAACAGACACCTGTGCACCCGCAGGGAGAGTGTACAGACAGCCCTGCATGTGTGTGATATATATGTATAGATATAGATATAGATAGATATAGATATGCATAGATACAGAGATATATACATATTTTACACACATGCAGCCCTTTCTTGCGCGCGCGCTTGCAGGTGCGTTTGTTTCGTATACGCTTTTTCCCTAGAGGTGTGATTTTTCGCTGCAGTTCGACCAGTGGTATCGCCATTCCTCCTGTATTGCTGCCGTTGCTCTTCGAGAGGAAGAAGGAAGGAAAGAAATGAAAGAAGAGAAGAAGGAAAGAGATGAAGAAAGAGATGAAGAAAGAGAAAAAGGAAAGAGATGAAAGAAGTTAAGAAGGAAAGAGATGAAGAAAGAGAAGAAGGAAAGAAGGGGAAGAAAGACGTTTGGGATTTACGCAACAGCATATGAGTGTATTGTCATGCTTCTGTTGCACATGCAAAGCTCTCTGCTGTGACAGCCTGCGCCACGTTGTTGACAGACTTGAAGGCGATTGACAGAGAGAGAGAGGGGAAAGAATACAGCGGCAGTGAAAGCTTTTCACGCTTACGCCAAGCAACGGTCCAGGGTTGAGGGATTGCCCTCGTTCTGCATGGAATGCTTCCAAAGAAGCGAAGAAAGTTGCACGATCCATAGCCGCGCGAATGTTGAAGCCGCTATGTGTAGCGTTGCTCGCCATGATGCCTTTGTCTTCGGTTTTTCTCGCTCAGAGTCTCTTTCTCTGTCTCTCTGTCTGTCTCTCTGTCTGTGTAGGGGAGAAAGGCAGAGAGAAAGGGCAAGGACTGGGAAGTATTCGGGAAGCCGGACCCCTGCTCCTGCCCTTTGAGTGTATATACACGCGCAGAACGCCTCTAGCGAGTTTTGCTGGACGCTTGCAGCAATTCAAGGAAGAGCTCTCGCTGGGCGAAAGCGAAGTTTAAAATTGGCGGAGAAAGAGGCGCTGTAACGGATGCTCCTGACCAACTCCCTCGCGGAAAGAATGCGCAGGCCTGACGTACAAAAAGGCACTCGCTGTAGCTAAACTCGCTGTAGCTACACCCCGTGTCTCGCATGCGTAAACAGCGCGAAGCGGGCGAATCTGCGGCTGTTGCCAACTAGACAGCGTTGGCTGCTCTCTGCTGCTCTACTAGGGCACGGACTTCAAGAGGACCGCGTGTAAATGTTGCTGCAGTTGCTGCAGTTGCTGCAGCAACTGCAGCAACAGCGTGCGCGGGGTTAATTCGCTGCAGCAAGACAGGAGTGGGGTACAGGTTCTTGCGTTTGTGTGTGCTGCAGCTTCAATTTTCACGCCGCCGCTGCAGCTACTACTGCAGCTACTGCAGCCGCTACTGCTGCTGCTGTTGCTGCTGCTGCTGCATGCACGAGGTCGCTCGCGCAGCAAGAAGCTCTTGGGGCAGCAGCAGCCGCAGCAGCAGTGCACAGGGGGAAGCGCCTCCAGGAGAGCCAGCCGCCGTATCCAGGCAGGCCTCTATCGTCATCAAATTCGACATTTAAAAATACAAGCCGCATTAATAATTGCTTTAAAATGCTTGATGAGTGGTGTGTTTTCGCTCTTGAAGAAATAATCCTACGCTGGCGATACACCGCAGAGCAACCAACACAGCAGCAAGCAGCAGCAGCGGCGGCGGCGGCGGCGCCTGCAGCACAACGCAGCAGCAGCCGCTGCTGCTGCTGCGGCTGCTGCTGCTGCTCTATGTTAAAAGAGGGTGCATGCTCCTCCTGCTTTCTATAACAGCGCGTATCACTGATTTTTGAGGCCTTCTCCTGCAGCCTCCGCAGTGAAGTCACAGCTGCCGCAGGAGCTTCACAGGAGCAGCGTGTAGCACCAACCTCAGTACGTCGCTGCAGCCACTTTTTTCGGGTACTTTCTCGATCGGCAGGCACACACATATTGCTTGCCCGCCTTCTTCCTTTTGCCGTTCTCTCTCTCTTTCCCTCCATCTTTGTCTCTCTATCATTCTGCTTCTCTCCTTCTCTCGAGCCGGACTGCAACTAGTTGACGAGCACTCCCGTCGCCCCCTGCCTGCCGTCCTTCCTCTCTGACTGGCTCATTTAAGCGGAGATCAGACGCTGTGTAGCGTTCGATCCGCTCGGCATCGCACTTTGCTGCTGCTGCTGCTGCTGCTGCTTTGGTAGCTGCCCCCGCAGTACAGCAGCAGGAAAATCGCTGCGAGCATCATCTCCCCGACAGACCCCGTACAAAAACACCACCACGCGTCGTGTGTAGCCGCTTCCGTAGCAGCTGCAGCAGCAGCAACAGCAAGAACAGCAGCAGCAGCAGCGTCACCATCCGCAAATGAGCCTAGTCGCCACAAGATCGCTGCTGCTGCAGCAGCGGCGGCTGTATCTGGGAAATGCAGCGCGCCTGTTGCAGCCACACGCAGCAGCAGCAGCGGTGGCTGCTTCGCAGCCGCTGTGGCATTATTGTGCCCCTCGCTTTGCCAGCAGCAGCAGCAGCAGCAGCAGCCCAGCAGTCGCGACAGACGCAGGAAGCGATGGATTTATGTCGGGAACTGCTGCATCGTACGCTGAGCAAATGCTTGTTGCCTGGCGCAAGGATCCATCCTCCGTGCATGCCTCTTGGGCAGCCTATTTCAGCAACCTCGAGAGGGGACTCTCCCCTGGCTTGTGTTTCACATCTCCCCCCTCTTTCCAGCAGCAACAGCCTCAACAGTACGTCGCATCATCATCGCCAGCAGCTGCTGCAGCCGCCGTTGGGAGCTTCCAGGGAGTGTCTCTGGCGCCTCATCAGTTGCCTCGCGGCTCAGGAGCGATGTCTGCAGTGGGCATTTCGGAGGCGTTTTCACCTGCATCGGCAGCAGCAACAGCACCAGCTTCAGCTACTTCCGCCGCTAGTGCTGCTACCGCATCTACCACCATAGGCGTCCACTCGGTGCTTCCCATCGTGCCGGGCGCTGCCGGATCCTTGCCACTCTCCTCTTTGCCGCATCAATCTGTCCACGACACCTCCCGCTTGATTCAGATGATTCGAGGATACCAGATGCGGGGGCATGAATTGGCGAAGATCAATCCTCTCTCCCTGCCGCGGAAGCCTCCCTACTGCACCGTGCGAGCCGCGCAAAGACCACTGCTGCTTTCTCCCGAGCAGTACGGATTCACGGCAGCAGATCTAGACAGAGTGTACGACACGAGGGTTCCTGGGATGCAAGGTTTCTTGTCTCCTGATTCGCCTCCGCGATCTTTGCGCGAGCTAGTGCGGCGTCTCAACGAGACGTATTGCGGAAGCCTGGGAGTCGAGTACATGCACATCTCAGACACGAGCGTCTGCAACTTTATTCGGCAGAAGCTGGAGACGGAGAGGCAGTATCAGTTCAGCAGGGAGAGCCGCAGGAAGATCCTCACCCGGATCGCGCGATCGCAGCTGTTCGAGAATTTCTGCGCGAGCAAGTTTGCCACCACACGCCGCTTCGGACTGGACGGATGCGAGACACTCATCGTCGGAATGAAGGCGATTACCAAGCGAGCCGCGCTCGAGGGAGTAGAAAGCGTTGTCATCGGCATGGCTCACCGTGGACGTCTGAACGTGCTCGTGAATGTCTTGCACAAACCCATGCAGCAGATGCTCAGCGAGTTTCAAGGCGTCTCCGGCTTTGGTTCCAGCGAGTGGGGAAACACAGGCGATGTCAAGTATCATCTAGGCGTCGAATTCGATCTGTTTGACACTGACAGCCAGCGCAGCATGCACATGTGCATCTTGCCGAATCCTTCGCACTTGGAAGCCGTCGATCCCTTAGTCCTCGGCCTGTCTCGCGCGCAGCAGTATTTTCGCAAAGACAAGGAACGCAGCCTTGTGCTACCTATCATTATCCACGGAGACGCCTCCCTCGCTGGTCAGGGAGTCGTGTATGAAACTCTCCAGATGTGTGCCTTGCCGAACTACACCGTGGGAGGAGCCATCCACCTCGTCGTGAACAATCAAATAGGCTTTACCACCAATCCTATCGACTCTGGAAGCGGCAAATACTGCACCGACATCGCCAAAGCCGTCGATGCGCCCATCATCCACGTCAACGCCGATGATCCCGAAGCCGTCACCTTCGCGTGCGAACTGGCTCTCGAATTCCGCCAAAAATTCAAGCACGATGTCTTCATCGACATCGTAGGCTACAGACGCTTTGGACACAACGAACTAGACATGCCCAAATTCACGCAGCCGCTCACATACACGCTCATCGCCAGAAAGAAACCTGCACTTGAACTGTATGCCGAAAAGCTTATTCGGGAGGTACGCAAGCAGGAAAACTCGCGAACAAGAAAGAGAGAAAGAAGGGGATTCACAGGGAGGGAGAAGGGAGAAGGGAGAAGGGAAGAAAGGGAGGGAGGGGATTGCGGAGGGAGGAAGGAGTTGAGGAGGGAGGAAGGGAGAAATGGAAAGAGGGACAGACGATGGTGCTCGTAGTTAGCGTCTACAAGGAGGAGTCGTGGTGGTTGTGGGGAGGATGTTTTTTTTAAAGGGGCCCTACCTTGTGCGATCTACATATGTGCATGTGCTTCTCTCGTATTTGTTTCATTCTTTTTTCTCTTTCTTTCTTAGGACGTCGTGAGCACGGAAGACGTCTCGAGGCTCAAGGGGGATATTTGGGATTTTTATACCCGCGAATACGAAAACAGCAAGCATTTCGTTCCAGCACACCAGGTACAAGAAGGCGGACTGTAGAGACACAGAGAAGAAATGTACATATATCGAGAGAAGAGATACACATATATATACGGAGAAGGGATGTATCTATGTATATATAGAGATAGAATATGAGCGACGTCAAAATGTGTGGGAACTTCTTGACAGGAGGGTATGTGTTTGCGTGTGGGGCCGTTATGCTGCCGGAGAAGAGTTCATTGAAGGGTAGTGTCAAGAGCTTTCTGAGGAAGCTTCTTCTCCCCTGAAGCGATGGGGGGCAGGCGACGGGAAAGAAAGCAGATTGTGCTGGACTAAGGCTTTTTGCGACGGAGGCTGATTATTTTAGGAAGTTTAGCTTTTGTGCGAGAGCGCCTGGAGGATCTCTCGCTACAATTGTGTGTATGCATGTGTGCATGTACATGTATGACTATGTGTATGTATGTGTGTGTTTTTTCGGGAAGCTGTGAGGGGGGGAAAAAGTGCTTTGTTTATCGGTCAGTACGTCTTTTTGATTGCAGCAGCGCTTATGCCTCGCGGTGTGTAACTGTCTGTCTGTCTGTCTGTTTTATGAATGTGCTCAGTACCAGTATGCCCCCCAGTGGACTCATCTGGTGACACCTGACCATCCTTCTCCCCCGCGTGTTACAGGTGAGATTGCACACGTCCTGTGCAACAAAAAGGCGAGACATCTTCATCCTGTTTGCGAGAGACGCATGTCTTCATCGATCTGAAGCCGTGGAAATGGTCGTGCTTGTGTGAACCCCTACAGCGCTTGCAGAGATAGTGTCTGCCTGCCTATGGTGTTATGCTGCTTCTTCACTGCTTGAGGAGACCAACCCTTCTCTAGTTGGCTGTACAGAACAGAGGCCTGCTCTCTCTGTGCTGCCTTCTCTTTCTTTGAGTAACTCGCTCGGTGTTGCACATAGGGAGAGAGACAGAGACAGAGAGAGACAGCATGAGCGGGTGTATACTTCTCACTGGATGCGTGTCTCCTGGTTTTTATTGATCGCATGATGTTTTCCGTGGTCTATTCTTTGCTTGGTATTCCTTGCTTCAAGGCTTTTCTTCTTCAGCGTGCTCTGCTAACAGCACAGCCTTCTTCCTCTAATACTTCCGTTTCCGGACTCTGTTTGAAACGTTATACTGGCGAGACAGACAGACAGCCTGTCTCGAAGATTTTCACAAAAAATTTTTATCTGTTCGTAGAGATCTATAGATGTGTATAAATTATATCTGCATATCAATAGATCTATGCATCTGTGTATGTGATGAAGTATGCATAGCCGTGGACGCACAGAGATATGTATGCTTGCATATCTATCGACTTTTTTAGATGCAAGTAGATATATGTATGTTTTATATCGATCTACATGCATCTATATACATATATATATGAATTCACTACCACCGCAATCAAAAATCTGGCGCATTGCACGCCTCTGGCTTTTACATTTCCTCTGCTCGTGTTGCGGTGTCTCCGCTGTCTGCAGGAGTTCGCCTGTCCACGCTGCGTGACTTAGGCCGTCGCATCTTCACTATTCCTGAGGGTTTTGTTGCTCACCCCACGATTTCACGTATTTTCAAGCAACGACTTGCGGCAGTCGAGGGTTCTGAGGAAGAGCCAAGCCTCGATTTCGGTGCTGCAGAAAATCTCGCCTATGCCTCGCTGCTGAGCGATGGCTTCCATGTAAGTCCAATGAAAGAGGCAAAACAAAAAGACGCTTCTGGAGTGCCTCCTGGCCTCCTGCTTTCATCAGTAACAACGAACGCGCGTCGATTATCACAGATTCTTCCCCCCCCACTGCTTTCTCAACTGCCTCCTCAGACGGGGTGGCAGCAGTAGCAGCTGCAGCTGGCATTTGCTCCCGTCCTTCCGTAGCCTCATCTCCATGTGTAGTTTGTCAGCTCCAAAAACGCCATCGCAATATTTGCATGGATATACCTGCAGGCACTCACAATACATATACTTATAAGTGCACAATCCATGTACACACCTAAATGTATAAATATAAATATATACGCCTACGATACATACACATACATACATACACATACATACATGCATGTATATATATATATATCGGTGTGTCTGCCGAATACGCTGTCGAGTCTCGCCACATTTTATGCTGCTTTACGGAGGAACTCCCGTCTTTTTGCAGACGGCGAGTCTGTGTCTATGTGTGTTTTTGGCATGTCAGTCAGTCAGCTCAGGGAAAGAACGAAAGTCTGGCAGCCTATTTTCTGTGCGTTTTCGCTTTCAAGGTTCGCCTAGCCGGCCAGGATGCTCAACGGGGGACGTTTTCTCACCGCCACGCAGTTCTCTCCGATCAGGCAGTTGAGGCGCAGCATTGCATCTTCGATTCTCTGAAAGATTTACGCCTCCCGCACAAAATTGCGGTGTGCAATTCGCTGTTATCCGAATACGCTGGTGCGGCATCCCTCCCTCCCTTCCCCCGCGAGCGCGTCTTCCCTAGTCCTGGCTGCTTCTGTCTTCTAACGCCTTTTGCTTTTTGTTCTCTTCTTCCTTTTCGTCTTTTGCTGCCTTTTGTCTTCTTCTTTTCGTCTTCTTCCTTTTCGTCTCTTGCTGCCTTTTTGTCTTCTTTTCCCTCCTCCTCCGCTTCCTTTTGCGGTGGCTGCATCGCCGATGCCGCTCAGGATGTACCACAGTTCTTATCGAAAAAAAATTCTCATTGCACGATAATAGGTGCAGAGATAAAGGCGTGGAATAAGGGAAACAGAGAGGAAGAGAAGAGAAAGGAGCTTCTTTTCCTCGCCATGCCGTTTGCTCGCTGTTGTGACGCGTTTCTTGTGGTTTTTGCATCCTCCAGTCGATGGTCTTTGCCCTTTTTGTTGCCCGTCTGAATGACTGCCGTCTGTCTCATATCTCATGTTTTTACTCTCTTTTGAATGACCGCCGTCTGTCTCATATTTCATGTTTTTACTCTCTTTTGAATGACTGCCGTCTGTCTCATATCTCATGTTTTTACTCTCTTTTGAATGACTGCCGTCTGTCTCATATCTCATGTTTTTACTCTCTTTTGAATGACTGCCGTCT